AACGGCTCCCCATCAGGAGCTCTTTGAGGGCGGCCACGAGCAATCGTCCTGGGGCGTGGCGGGCGGGCAGCTCTCCTGTGGACAGGGTCACGTGAGCTGAGGTCCACTCAGTGGCCCCATGTGAGGGTGGCCTGCTCACGGCCAGGTTGGCGGTTCAAAAGCACGATGAACTAGGGGTGGGGTGGGGGGAGATGAGGCTGTCTGCTTAGCAAAGCGTTACGGACCCTGGGAATCGCTATCAGAGGGAGCTCGAAGGTGGTGGGTGTGGGTGTGGGGTTTTAGGGACTCCCAGATGTGGGAAACGGAAAGGTTTCTCCCAAGTTGTCTCCCCAAAATATATGCCAAGCCCAAGACGCTGCTGCTACAGGTGGAAAATGGCTGCACACGAGGGGGTCAATGAAGGCAGGTCAGTGGTGGTTCTTAAGGGCATCAGCCATCCAGAGCAACCAGACTGCATAGTCTGACTCTCCTAAGTAGGGGGCCCACTCCCCTCTGACATTGCTCCCTTGAAGGAGTGCCCAACGGCAGGCCAGGGGCCACTCAAGGCTGACTAAGGTTAGGCTACTATGCTGAGGTTAGGGTCTCCCATCTTCCCACAGATGTACCCCTGTTCCCTCCCTGTACTATTGTGTGTGCACCCCTAGGCCTTCCCCGTCCTGTTGCTTGTATTGCCTATGTTACAACCCCTTCTCATGACGTACACTGTTATCTGTAATCAAGGTTTGCATGCCCCCAAAGACATAAGCTTTGGTTAGAAATAAAACTTGACGAGAGCTCTCTCCTGCCCTCTGGTCCCCACCTCCACGTGGGCCACCACGAGGAGCTGAGGTGAGCTTGCTACCATGAAAGGTGTCTTGATGATTTTACTATAATCTTTGTATTTCTTAACCGTATAATTGTGTCTATTGAACCCGTGATTAGTTGTGGGGGGCTGGCTACCCCCACACCGGGAGGGGAGCGTGGGGTGGGGTCTGCAGAGACCCAGTTCACTCCAGATGAACCAGAGCGGGCTTGCCCACAGCAGAGCAACTTGGCTGTGATCATGGGCGGGAGGGTGGGGTGGGGGGAGCAAGGGGTGCTCCACTATTTTTCCCTCCACAGTGATCTTAGGCCCCCAGACGTCCCCAAGAGGCACTCCCCACCACCTCTCGCTACATCTTGTCCGCATCAACATCTCTCCATCAAGGGAACACTCTCTTCCCACACAAACCCTCAGGCCTGCAGCTAAGGGCACCTTCCCTCCACGGCAAGTCCCCAAGGGCTGCCTTGCT